CTCCCCCCCCCCCCCCCCCGGAAAAATAACGGATTTAAGGAGCTCTCACTGGTGTTATCGGATGACACGACGAGCGCGTGCCGACGGATTTGCCCGCAGTCGAAGATTGACTTTTACCTGGCAAGCCGACGAGAGAGATCCACATCAAGATTTCGTTATTTCGTTTGACCAAGAAGGAGGGGCTGGGGGTGTGTGCAGGGGACAACCCCATCCTCCACCCCCCATCCAGCGCATCATTTTAAAGCTTGCCAGCAAATAAGCGCCAAACCCGATCCACACGCCACACGCTAATCAAGGCTTGAAGCCCTAATTTGAAATCCTAACATCAACTAAGAAACCGAATTTTTTAACCAAACCTTGACCCAAAATCTTGGTCCTGTCATTTGAAATCCTAACCCAGGCCTGCAACCTGAATTTGAAACCTTAATCTTTTTTTAAAACACTAATCCAGGCTTGAAGGCCTTTTTGCAACTGGAATTTGAAGTTCGGACCCTATTTGGACCCCAAACCTTTACTTAATACTCCAATAAAGGCTTGAAACTGTAATTTGCAACCCAAACCCAAAGCCTTAATCCTCTTTGAAACCCTAACTTAATAAACCTGCAACCAAGCCAAGAGCGGCAGATTGCTTTTTTTATTTTTATTTTTTTAAAAGAAGGCGAAAGATGCGGTGAGCGACGTCGTTGGCAGAAGGCGCCGGCATTTGCGCAGGATGAGCTCATTGGGCCTTTCCGCCGCCGCCATCTTTGCAAGTGCGCATCAGATGAATCCTTTTGCATTTTAATGAGGGCCGAATGCCGCCTTCATTTGCAGGAAGTGCTGAGCATGTGGCGGCCGCGGCAGCGGCGCTTTTTAACGAGCGTCTCTCATTCCTGCTCATTAGACTAAAATGTGTCGGTTCCCTCCGCAGCTTTACGCTCTCACGCTAAATAAGGCGGCGTGACGGAACCGAGCGCTCGTCCCTCATTTTTATGGCCCCGTCGCGGCCGCCCGGGCCCGCCCTCGCCTGCCCCACCCTCACAATTACACGCAAACAGCGGGCAATTCATTCGGTACACTGACACTTGCACACAGTATGTGCTAAAAACAAAGTGAATGACAGGTTTTGTATTCCAACAAACTCCTAGCTTAATGCTAGCACACAACGGGAAACGCTGTTGAAGAGCTAATAAATAGCATCTCTGTGGCAGTGCTATCATCCTATAAGCAACAGATAGTTGAAGACAACCCATCAACACGTCGGCAGACAACCAAACAAATCTTAATGTCATACCATCTTCATCCTCTGCAAAGAATGACTAATACTACTAAGTTACTTGCAGTAATTTGGAAATGCTTACCTTGAATTATACAGCCGCCCAAGTTGCACACAACAGAAGGAGAATTCTTAATTCACCATTTATCACATTTAATCATCTATTTACCATATGCCTTTGTCAATATATTGATTTATTTAAATATTATAGAGTGCTATTTTCCTTATTAAGAAACATTTGTTATGATGAACATTTTCGTTGCGATTTTTGGGGAGGCTAGAAGAGATGAACATCATTTCCGTTGATACCGGTGGGCAAAGAAGATCTGAGATGCGAATGTTTTGAGTTGCAAGCGTGCTCATAAAACACAAGATGTCTTTAAATACGGTGACGCAATAAGTCGCTATCTCCAGCTCCAAGTACTCACATTTAGTGGAGGAGAGCCCGTAAATCATTAGAGTGGCCTTTAAAACTGTACAGGATGAAGCTCTTCTATTGGATGTGATTGGACCGGGTACCTAATGAAGCGGCCGTTGACACAGCATCAAACGCACATTCTCGCGCGCGCACACATACACACACGTATACACTCTCGCACACAAACACAAAGGATGTCATAAATCAGCAAGAGTGCGCTCCTCCACTGCAGCCGGGCAGGGCCGTCTGATTTATGGGTGCATCATGTTTCAAGTGGTCTGGACTCCTCCAGCCAGGGTGGACGCTGCAGAAAAAAGACAAAGCTGCTTTTTACAAGGTTCAAGTGAAAGCACCGCGCTGCTGGAATCTGACTCCCGGGGGAGGGGAAAAAAAAAAAACGTGCGTCGGATGCAGTTTTGGGGCACGTCTGCGGGGGCGGCAATGGCGATTAATCACGCTTTATCTGCGCTCATTTCCGTGCAGGAGATCGCCCAAATTGGGGGCCATAAATCGCGATCGGCTGACAGCACACTTCGTCTCCATTCGTCGGCCCGCGCCGCAGCTACACGTTGATTGTGCTCAAAAACATTCGCCAGAATGACGGATGACAGTGTCGCGACCGCTTCCGCCCGCTACGAGTAGCCCTCGCTAGTGCCCCCTGGAAAGTTTGCGGGGGGAAAGAAAAAAAAAATCAATCAGACCCTGACACAAGTTTTAACAATCGACACAAACTTTGGGTGGATGTGTTTACCATGACAAGATGTACAAAAAAAAAAGTCAAAAGACCTGTATCTAAAATTGACAAGGAATTCAGCATTTTTGCTTTGATGTGAAAAAAATAAAAATAAAATCAGCCCCTGACACTAGTATGACCCATCAACCCAAAATTGGCTCGACATTATAAGATGCACAAAAAGTCTCATAGACCAAAAATTGAACAGGAAGTCTGATATTTTGGTCTGAAGTAGCCCTTGTGGGTCAAATTCCTCAGACTTGCCTCCTGGCAAGTTGGAAAACATCAACCCTAACACGTTCATCATGAAAAGAATTCCATAAAACTCTCAAGGAGCCGTGTCCAAAATCCAACAAGAAATCATCCATTTTAGTTTGAAGCCATTTTGGTTTAGTTTCAAACCGGAAGCTGTCCGTGGTTCTGCTGGTTCTCTTTCAGGACCACGGACAGCTTCTCCTCTGACTTGCCTTTTATCCCGAGGAATAGAAGAGAAGGCTAATTGGCATCTTCTATGAACGTGGAAAGATCCTCTCATTGTCGGACTGTACGTTTGGGGGCTAATTAAGCGTCTTAACGCTTGATGAGATGAAGCTGTTCGAGGTCCCAAGAGCAGATTAATCGCATCAAACCAATAAAACATTGCCAGCCTACCCGTACCACCCTATAGATCTCCTACTGTCAACTCTCACCGATTTTTTTTTTGTTTTGTTTTGTTTTTTTATTTTGTAGGATGTCAGTAAAATTGTAGCCAAATGGTAAATGTCTCACGATAATGCAACGAAAGGACAGGGAACTATTTGCAACAGTTGAGGGTTGGTGGTACTCACTTTAATTAAATGACATTTTGTACTAATACACCTATCTTTATAAAGCCAGGGATTGATACTTAAGTTCAGCGGGGCACCACAAGGCTCACTACTAGGCAGTGGAACATTGTAATCACACTGCCAATTAGTAAAGGAATTGGAATCAAAATGGCAATACTTATTTACGGTATATAATCATCTGTAAGCGATTTAAGTTTGTCAGTTTGAAATTATATTAAGGTGTTTGGAAATCATAGTTTAGACTAGATTTCGGCTTTGAACTTTTAATATATTGAAGTTGTTTAAAAAAAATCAAAAATTCTTACAATTTTTTTTACAATACAGTCCTTTCTTCCTTGCTTTGTTCCCAAAGAATCTTTGACTTCAGCCTCAATGCTGCGTCCATGCAGGCCGTTGTTGCCTAGCGAGGTGTGACAGCGCCGTGATTTATGGCTTATTATTGAGGCAGCGTAGCCTATCGCCGGCTCGTTATGAGTTTACCTTCGCATACATCAGCGCACGCGTGTCGCATACCAATGTCAACAAATACATAAAAGAACAACAACCAGTTTCGGGCCACGTTTACAAATGCTCACGTGACCAAATCTGCGTACAAGTTGGCATAAATCAACACAGGCTACTTGTAGTGTGTTAGCCCGCTCGCTAACATGTGGCCGTGGCCCAGGACAAATAAGATGCAAGTAGTTGTGCAATGAAGCAGCTTTTGCAGAATCCTAAGAACACAGAAGCAAGCAACATGATTGCCACGTACAAAGAAACTCTCACAGAGCTGAAGTAGTGTTAGCATTAGCGTTAGCGCTCATCTGATCCAATCTTGCTGAACGAATGGGATGTCGAGGTGAGAAATCACCTGTTTGTTAGCCAAGATGTTAATGTGTGGATGTAGCCTCAGCAAACTGCTAACAAGCAATCAACAATTGTCAAAGGTAACAAAGTCTTAGAGGTAAGATATGTTAGCACTGGCTCGCCTCTGACCAAATTTCCCTAAACTAATACACCATCGAGCTGAGCATAAATCGATTTATTAGCTGGGGCACTAATGTGTCGGTGTCGCCTGAACAAAATGACACGCTAATGTATGTGCAGACCCGCTAACACAGGCAGTATTTATTTTATGTCGCGTTTGAACTGATTAACATACCTTCCTGGAGTACTACACAGAGCTGAGCCCATGTTAGCAGTAGCATTAGCACGAGCCAAGCGACAAGCTAATAAAATTCAAGAACGACACCGACAAATTTCAGGGAGTCTCTCAAAGACCTACTGAAGTGCTAGCATTAACATCACAGCGCACCAGTTGCCGCTGAAAAAATTTAATTTAATTTTAATTTGGTAGTTTTAGTGTAATCCTACTCACAGGAAACCAAGCAAAACCATTGTCGCTAGCTACTAACGCACCACAAAGCTAGTACTGTTTGGGTGTGCATCAAGTGAGGGGGATTAAGGACAGAAATTTTAATGTGTCGACAGGTTCCAGTAGAGTGCGGTATAGATGGAAAGAATCTTTTGAGGACTTGATGAATGAGCAATTTCTCTCGCCTTTAATTTGACGGCAAAGTCAGTGAAAATCCTAAAAGACTGCTAATGCTATGTTGCTACGCTAACCGCGACCAGATAGGGGTTTTAACACTGGCCGAAGGACTGGCTAATGGTCGTCATCGTGAAAACTGTCTTTCGTTTTGAAAAGCCATGTGCAACTGCTTGGAGGTGGAGTGATGCGGTGGAGTTGAGCGCCGACAGCGAGCGGACGGTTCATCCCAAATGCATCGGACACACGTTATTAACTCGGCCAGCGGCTTCCGCGCTGGCCGTGCCGGAGCGTCACCACTCAAGCAGCCCGTGGAGATTTCACTCTGAAAGCAAACGCAGCGGAACAACCGTGATATAGAAACGGGAGGAGAGAGAACGGGGCACATCTTAGATACGTATTGGAAGCCGTATAGGTATATAAACCCCGCATTTTTTGTTGCATACCATTTGAATGCACCACACCAACCTGACTGAAGGTTAACCACCAACGTTGAGCCCCACTTGGCCCGCGACACTCCCTCGTCCTTCACCCCAAGCTCGGCCGTCACTGCCATTGGCCCGAGCTGCTCCCAGATGGCTTAGAGCTGGGGGTCATCACGAGGTCGGGGGAGATGGGGGAGGGGGGGGACGGCCTCGACCGTCCCGGCCCATCTGCTTCATTTCCCCCGCGGGGAGCTTGTGAACATCTCGTCACCTTCACCTTTTTTTCCAGCTCGATGCCACCTTTGCATCCGTTACCCGCAACGACACCAACAGCCCAACGTGCCTCGCACTGATCGCTGCCACACCGGGCCTCAAAAGTACAAATAAAATCATAAAAATGATTAAAATAACACGAAGAACGTTAAGGCGTTTTTTCTAGTCGGGGGGGCGCTGTTTGCATTTCGCATACGAGGTGGAAATGGCGGCAAAAGAGGCACACCCGCGCGTACTAAGGCTCGCGTCAGCCTGTTTGTGCCGCCGATATTTTCTATCAGCAGGTAAGCAGAATGTCTCTCTCATCGCCACTTTTTGTGTCTGTCTCCATAGTAACGGGCTTCCCGTACCCCGCCACGGGCACCGCCGTGGCCTACAGGGGGACCCACTTGCGAGGTCGGGGGCGGGCAGTCTACAACACCTTTCGCACGGCCCCTCCGCCGCCGCCCATCCCGGCTTATGGAGCGTGAGTAGCGCTTACAAAGTCATGTTTTTATTTATTTTTTTATTCTTGATGACTTTCTGTTGTGATTGCTTCCTTGGCAAAATAAGGTGGCACATGAGACACCGTGACCCGAAAACTAGCTAAGTGAAACTCAACTTGAGCAGTTTTCAGCTGCTTACTTCTTGATGACTTTCTGTTGTGATTGCTTCCTTGGCAAAGTAAAGATGGCACATGAGACACCGTGACCCGAAAACTAGCTCAGTGAAACTCAACTTGAGCAGTTTCCAGCTGCTTACTTCTCAACAAGCAGCAGCGAACACTTTTTGTGTATTCAACATAACTACAGAACTTTGCCTTACGCATGTCCACTAACTTCATGCAAACACACGAGGCAAAATGCCATCGACAGACTCATCGAAATTGAAACCTTAAAGAAGGAAGCTTAACAGACTACGCATACAGCAAACACATCTTCAAAAATGGTGCTAGGTGTGCTCGCTTTAAGTTTTAGCCTAATGCTAATAAACAACAGAAAATGCCACCAGTATGTGTCATGTGACCAACAAACTGCGCAGCAACACATGCAGACACACAATATAAAATTTTTGCACACTTGTGCATTTTTACACTTAAGTTCTAAATGAACTTTGCCTTACGCATGTCCACTAACTTCATGCAAACACACGAGGCAAAATGCCATAGACAGACTCATGGAAATTGAAACCTGAAAGAAGGAAGCTTAACAGACTACGCATACAGCAAACACATCTTCAAAAATGGTGCTAGGTGTGCTTGCTTGAAGTTTTAGCCTAATGCTAAGAAACAACAGAAAATGTCACCAGTAAGTGTCATGGTAGTAGTGACCACAAACTGTGCAGCAACACATGCAGACACACAATATTAAATTTTTGCACACTTGTGCATTTTTACACTTAAGTTCTAAATGAAAGCTAAACATGAATAGGAATATTTCTGTCCTTAAAGCATTTTCAAAATGACACCACTCAAAGTGGGATGTAATTAAAAGAAGACCACAAAAAAAGCCCAATTTATGAAAATATTTTTATTAGATTTTTATTTTTAGTGTGGCGTGTTATAATCATTTCGTGAAGGGATTTTTTTTTTCATAATTTTTTTTTTATTCATGTCATTTTGGCTCGTCTTGTGCAATATGTATTTTAGCTACCATTTTTAGTGCATCGTAATCTTTGTCCCTACTGTCCCCTATTTTGTGTTTTTTTTTCATTCATGTTATGTGTATGTGTGTGCCTTCTTACAGTTATTTTGCAGAAAAAAATAAATAATAAATGACATGTTGATATTACGTAGTATTTAACATATTTCAAATTCTTCGTGCACCCATGGTCTGTCCGAGCAAACGTGTCCATGTTACTCGCATTCACTTTCATGTGTTTGGTGAGTGCAATGTGGGCGCCACGTCCTTGTCACTATCATAAGTGCGTATGCGTGTGTGTGTCCGTGTGTGTGTGTGTGTGTGTACGCGAGCGTGCGTGCGTGCGTGCGACCCAAGCCTCGGGCAGCCGAGATAGCGTTAGCATTAGCGCCGACCGCATTGCTGATCTCTTGGCTTTGTGCGGCCTCACTGGCACTCGCTTTCGCCTCTTATCGGTTTGTGTGCGCGCGCGTGTGTGTGTGTGTGTGTGTGTGTGTGTGTGTGTGTGTGTGTGTGTGTGTGTGTGTGTCCTGGAAAGTAGGCATTTTTTTGGGTGGTCTCACTGTATGTGTGCATGTGCATGTCTCTCTCTCTCTCTCTCTCTCTCTCTCTCTCTCTCTCTTCATATATATACACACACACACACACACACAATGACAGGGGGGGCCGGAATATGTTCCTCTAGTGCGACGCAAATGAGGAGAATCACTGCCTCAATACTTGACTGGGAAGCGATGACATAGCAGTTTTTGAAAAGAACTGTAGAATATTTAAAAGCAATCTGAAATTGCTTTGATGGATTGGTTTTCGCATCTTTAATCAATACAAGTTGAAGTATTTGAACGTGCTTTCTCATGCTGTTCTATTTTGTCCCTCACAGGGTGGTGTACCAGGACGGCTTCTATGGTGCCGAGATCTACGTGAGTACATTCAAGGGTTGGGGAGGGGGGATGGGGCGCGGGCCTCAGGGAACAATGCGATCCCCCCACAGCGTTGGGCAGTGTCCCGCTTTCGCTGCCAAGTCGGTGTCGATTAGGCCGGCGTCGGCTGTGCCAAGAAACCTGACAAGAACACTTAAGACCCCCTCAGCTCCAGCCGCCCAGACTTCCTGTCCCGTGTTCTTTCATTTTGCGCATCCACGTACGCTTCCCAGGGCCCGGACGGGGTAACCCAGTCCACCACCACCACCACCACCACCGGGCTGTGGGGTGGTGGTGTTCTCACATGGTACCGAGTGGAGTTTGGCCAGCACAGCCGTGCTGGAGATAAGAGTGGCGGGGGGGGGGAGAAGGGCGCGTCAGTCCCCC